AGGTACATCGAGTTAGTTGTGTAGCATAGGTCGACTTACCGTGGTAATGTAGACATAGCCTTAGAAAAGGCAAGAATTAAGCTTGCCTGTGCAGTGTTAATTTAGCCCCCTTGTGTTTATGCATTATGGTATAGACCTTAATTTCATGATCATAAATTATCTTTTTTCTACAGGACCCCTGTCTCCTTCAGAGCACAGGAAAAATGGTGCTCACTTAAGGACCTGCTATTTAATATTTTCTCTTCTCCTCCGTTGTTCAATGTGTTATTCCAGGGTTTTTTTTACTTCTCCCTCCCCCACCTCCCATTTCCCTCACTGGCTTTTTCTATTTCTCCAGTCTCCCCTCCTCACCTACTCCAAGTCTCCCCAAACCTCTTGTCCCAAACTGCTCCTTTCCCTCCCCTCACCCTTAATTCAACTTTTATCTCTTCTGTATTCAAATTGGATGGCTTCTTCCTCCCTGGCTGCTGCATGCCAGCATGAGGGTCATAAAAGAGACAGGCTTCCTGTTTTCGGTTCCAGTGTCCGACCCAGAGCAGCTGGGAGCAGTAATTACAAGGAAAGTCTTTCTGATTCCCCATGCACAGTTAAGTCACACATAGAAATTGTGAGGGGCTGGAGCATGCTTCTTGAGGAGGGATTATCTGGAGATTTTAGCTGTTAAAATAAAAGAGGTCTCTCCTGTACATAGGTGAGTCTTTTTTAGAAACCTTATTGGTTGGCCAATTCTTGGGCGGATTTTCATGGTGAAGGCAAAAAGCGTATCACTGGACACCAAGTCCACCCTCTGCCAAACTTCAAGTCCCTCCTTCAAAGCATATGGGAGCTAAAGCATTTCAAAGAAAAAGTCTCAAGAATTTTTTAACATGGAAAAATATATTTTGCCCTTTGCCTCATTCTTGGAAACGACTTAACTCGTTTTGGCTGAAAAGTCCTTTCTCCCCCCACCCCCTCTTCCCCCCAAAAAAACCCAGAACAGCCTGAGGCAGATGCAGTTGTGGCCCAAATGGTTAGTTTTGCAAAGTTATAAGTAAAGTTACGATTTAGTCACCGCAGTCACGGATTCCGTGACTTTACTGGACCTCGGTGACTTCTTCCACTTCAGCTGTCAGCAGCTGGCTGCAGCCAGGCTGTGCACCCCTGTCCCATAGCTGTGGCCAGCTCCAGAATGGGGACTACGGTGGGGCCACATTTCCCTGCCCGGTGGCTGCAGTGGGAGCCATGTGCCCCCTTTGTAGCTTCCCAGAGCTGTCTCTGCCTGTCAGTCCCCTCCTCCCCATGGGACTCCATGCCCTCGCTTACTTAGCCCTGGCCCCAGTTATTCTGAGTAAAGCCACGGACAGGTCATAGGTCACTAGGAATAAACAAAAATTCACAGTGCCCATCTGTGACTTTTTTTAACTAAAAATAACTGTGACAAAATCTTAGCCTTAGTTATAAGCAACTGAAAACAGGGTCTTACTATGAGAAGTGTAGGGAAAACTTACTATCAGCCCCACCTATAATATTGTTCATTGCTAGTAATTCAATTAAATTTATGAGAAAGTAAGCAGTCTTCAAACTTAAGAGAATAATCTAATAGTACAGAGTGTAATTTTTTTTCTTGATTAAACTTCACCCAGTTATTATACTGACATAATTTTAGATCTTTCTCCTTTTTCCTTAGTCTGTTATTTTTAATGTAAGTTAAATCAGAAGCATTTGTATGCATGTTCATTTGCCTTCTAAATTTAAGGCCATAGACGCGCCTCCATTATTATGACATGAAGAGGGGCAGAACAGTCCAAGTCCCACAGAGGAGTACTTGGGGTGAGAAGAGGAATGTGATTATAACACTACTGCATAGCTCATCCTCTCCCTTTTGCAGCTGCTATGCAGATGCATTCTCATCTGCTGTAGGAGGCATAGCTGAGAGAAGTCAGATGAGCAGCTGCTCTGTGAAGCTTCTTACAGCAACAGAACTTACAATTCAAAATAAAGCCTCAGAAGTTACTGCTGCCCTCATTAAATCCTCCTCTGTGGCTTTCAGACATTGCCAGAGGAATACTGGGGGGGAAAGCCAGGCAATGGCAGCATGCCAAGTTTGCTAGATGTACTGCAGTTACTGTGAGAGGCCTAGATGGGAGCATCAAGTAGAGTGGATATTCATGATGTATTTTGTGTTTGTTCTCACGGATCTCAGTCCGCTGTGTGTTTTGGAGGCCCTGCCCACTTCTCAGACCCAGCTCTGACAAGAGAAAGTGGTGGGTGGAAGATGGGACTTAAAACTGCCTGTGTTAAATATTCCCCTGTGAGCCTGTTTTCAAAAGAAGGAAAATTTAATTGGTTCATTTTTAAAAAACAGATGCTTTGCTTGTCCATAAAATTTGCTGTATTTATAAAATTTTTAGACTGTGGAGATTCACGGTAGGACTTCTTTTTAACCACCATTCTGTCAGTGAAGCAGGAAGAAAAATAGAAATGTTGTTTTGACATAAGTAAAGCACACTTTTATTTTGCTAACTTACAAACACTGTTCCTCAGACTGCATAAACACGCCTATCCCAGGTTTTAGGTTTGTAATGAAATTGTGCAAAATGATTTTGGGCCTTACTACAAATACTACAAGATTGTATCATGAAAATTATCTAGAGCCCAATCCCGAGAGTCCATATGCCAAGTATCTCTGAGGAGGCATTCATTAACTCAGAGATGAGGCCCGTAGATAGGCAATGAATATGCCCAGTTGTTCCGTCCATACACTCAGCAACTTGACTAGAGGAAATTAGGACTAGGTGGGTCTTTCTAAGGGAGGGAGAATGAAAGGAGCAGTGTTGCCTCTAAGAACTGTTCCTTTAAGAGGGAATGAGAAGGAGCAGAGGACCCAACTGGATGGAAAGCCAAGGCCCTTCTGTGCATCCAAAAGAGCAGTATGGGCAGTAGTTGCAGAGGAGCTCTGCAGTGTGGTGGGAACCAGCATCTGTTGTTGGTTTGATGTGGGGAATCATTAATTGAGTCGACTGGGGTAGCAGTGGTAGCCAGAATTAATTGGGTAAATGGATTTATTGGAGGGAGACAATCTGTCAGAGATGTTTGTTTTTGGTGGGGAGTTAAGATGTGACAGTATAATTAAATGGGTATGACTTTGGGGGGAGGGTAGGTTTGGGGATATGGCAGCATAGGTTTCTCCCAGGTTAAGAGGCTTTAATCCTCATATGAGGTGTTGGGAACTCTTCAGTCCTTGAATGTGTTGGACTTCTTGAAGTCTTTCATCATATTTCAAAAGCTCAATAATTCCACTGAAGTTACTTTTAAGTAGTTTTTCTTTATATCAAACTCTGACAGAACTCTGGCATATGTGATCTACTGATGTAAAGTGCTATAGAAGAGGCAGGTGATATTATTATAGCAGTGGGACAGACTGGCAACTTTACTTCCATCATGATATAATACAAAAAGTATGCTACCCATCCAAGCTGTGGCTACTATCTCAGTATGATGGAACATGAGGTGATGAGAGTGCTGTGCCTCTGCCCATAAAGAAGCCAGAAAGGGTGAGCATTATGACATACTCACACTGTTAGTTGACGGTAAACATTTTTCAGATAGGTGGACTATTATTCATAGCTTCATCTGAGCCAAATTAAGAGTCATACAAATTTATGTGCCATAGCTATGATATGAGTGTACAGTAGCATAGGATTTTCAAATCCATAGGAAATTTTCAGCTGTTTGAGCACTACTGTCCTGGAGATAGACTAGCCGTTTCTGTTCTATAGATGTGAGTAGCATTTCTTTTTTTCTTTTGTAAAAGTTCCTTATAAAAGCCCATACTTGTGTAATGAAGATATAAAAGGTAGGAGTTTTACTGAAGTATTTTTTTTAAATGCAGCCTGAAACATTTTTACAATAATACCAAAATATGCTTCCTATACTTACGTTACAATCATACTATCAAAAAGCTTGCATAAACATAGGCGTAAATATTGAACTCCTTTGGTATTTCCTCAATACAGAGTCAATGCCTGCTTCTGCTCTGCTGAGGAAATTCTCAAAATGTGAACACGTCAGAAGCGAATTAACAGATTTGCTGCTGAAAAATTGGTGTAGCTACCCTGTATTTTTTCATATAAAAAACACAGGTTGAATTCCCATTTTAAGCATGGGCATATTTGGGGGGCAGCAGATGGGATTGTGGGGGGGTGTCCTCTACAAACTGCAAGCCTTGGGCAAGTGCAGAATTTGCCACTCCCCGCAACATGTGGCCCAGTTGTCCTCACTGGAGCTGCCTTCCCCCCCAAATATAGAAATCAAACTATACCTATGATTTTAAATGCAAAATCGAACTGTAAATGAGACTACTCACATGCTTAAACTTACACTTGGCTTTATGTGTTTGCTAGATTCGTGCTGTATGGTCAGCACCTTGCAGGATCATGCCCAAATAGTGGATGTTTTGCTCTGAGTTTCTGGCCCATCCCCAGGGCTAAATAGGCCACTTTTCAATTTTGTGGGCATAACTGACTAATTCCTCGTGTAATCTCCATGCAGTTGTGTTGAATTTAGTAGGGTTGCTGTGGGGTGTAAGCCAGTATGGAATTCTGTTCAGAGTGTTTTAGATTTAATATGATCAATGCCTGAGAAAATCTTGACTCATTGTAATTCTGCTATTGACAATTCAGAAAATCAACACTATAATGTCAGCTGCTGTTGAAGCCTTTTAATACTGGCCTTTTTTTTTTTTTAAGGCCAAGGTTGATACCACCCACTAAACTGATTGAGTCAAGATCAAAACAAAGTTATTCCACTTCACTTTTAAATTAAACACCATCTACTTGGATTAAACTAGTGAGCATTTTTAAATACTGCCTAATACTTGTCTGCTCTGTTTCCACAACTTCCACGTGAAGCAAACTGTGGTGATATTTAGAATGCAGATTTCCCTAAGCTATTTTGGTATTTCATTTGTGTATGATGTTGCCAGCTGTACCGTTTCTGAATATGATTTTGTTGTTTTACAGATGATACAGTAAGAGCTTTTGGGGAAAGAAACTGAGATTTGTGTCAAAGATCTGTTGCAGAACAACTGAAAAGAGAAAGCAGAATGGACAACTTCTGAAAATTGTATTAAAGAACAAAAATCAATTGGAAACATATAAGGTGGACTTAGAGGAGTAAAGAATTTTAAAAAGCAGCCAGAAATTGGAATTCCCTGGTTTGGCTCAAGGTCTTGGGATAATGGATACCATTGAGACTGCAAAGCTTGAAGAGCACATGGAAAGTCAAAACAATGACACCTCAAATGGTTACGTTCGACCTACCCTATCTGTCAGCGAAGAGAGTGAAAATGGCAATGGCAAACCTAAGGGTTTACCTAATGGTTTGCGAAAAGGCACAAAGAAATATCCGGACTATATTCAGATTTCTATGCTTGCTGAATCTAGGAACAAATTTCCTTTGGAATGGTGGAAAACAGGCATTGCCTTTGTGTATGCTCTCTTCAATTTAATTCTAACGACTGTCATGATCACCGTTGTTCATGAGAGGGTACCTCCCAAGGAGCTCAGTCCTCCATTGCCAGATAAATTTTTTGATTATATTGATCGCGTGAAATGGGCTTTTTCTGTATCAGAAATAAATGGAATGATACTAGTTGGATTATGGCTAATCCAGTGGTTATTTCTCAGATACAAGTAAGTAGCTATATTTATCTCTGCTTCTACTTAGTAACAGAATTTGCTTCTGCCACCCTTATTCATGTTGAGTAGCACTTTTCTCCATGAGGAGTTACAGTGATTTCCCAAAATGAGTTCAGGTTTAATGTTTAAAGGAAATTTGCAGCTAGACTCTGCACCCATACATTGGAGTAGAGTTGGCTTGAAAACCACAATTACATTTCATGAAAAATTTGAGGTTTCAAAATTTGTTTTTATTCTGATGCAGAATAAAAACAAGACCTTTTCCGAGCAGGACCTGAACCTCAGTCTCTCTCATCCCCACAGAGCAATTTAACCACCAGGCGATTGTCTATTCTGAGATTAAATCTCTGGCTAGAAATTCCATTATGGAACTGAGACCTTACAGATGAAATTTTCATTAAAGTGATACCATTCCCCAAAACAGTTCAGTTTTGACTAAACTGCACTCTTTTTGACAGAAAGTGCTGTGAGACCTTAGTCAGCCCTAAGTAGAGCTTATTGAAACATTTTCAATTAAACTTTTTTTTTTTAATTTCTGACAAGGCACTAGACAGTTCACTAACATTAGACTGGATGCTCAAGCTAGTCACATCTCTGAGAACATCAGCCCATCTTTCCCTCCAGATCATCTCCTGTTTCCTCAAGAAACAATCTCTACAGATACTTTAAAGGAAAACCAACTTTATTTGACATGGGATTGAAAATGAAAAGGAAATTACAAAATAATTACAAGCAAAATAAAAACACTAGGAGAACACTAGTGCTATTAAATAGGCCTGAATTTTTACTTACCATCTAGTGGTTAAATGAAATAAAACCATTACATTTGCAGCAATTTCTTTATCTCTCTTAACTGCAGCACATTCATGTTTCAATTTCGGTCTGTGACCCTATCTCTCCGTCTGTGACGTGACCCAGCAAGATGTGTCCAGACATCAAATATTGTGTATCTCTCTCTCTCTCAAATCTCACATGGAAGTAGTACCATTGAAACTTTGTTTTCATATTGGTTAGATCACAATTTAAAAGCTCTAATAACTTTTTAAAATTTAGGGTATTAACCATTTAATGAGGCTACAGCTACGCTGGAGGCACCGTACGACCCTCTCTCCTCGTGACAAGTAAATATATCCTGCCTTTCAGTTTATGCTTACTTTCTTTTCTCTCCCTCCCTCCTTGTTTTCAGATCAATAGTGGGACGCAGGTTCTTTTTTATAATTGGAACTTTGTACCTGTATCGCTGTATTACCATGTATGTTACCACCCTACCTGTGCCTGGAATGCATTTTCAGTGTGCTCCAAAGGTAAGAAATCTTGGTATTGGCCAAAGTATTACATCAAATACAGTATCTGAAAAAGACATCTTGGTACATTCATTTATTTTAATAAAGTTAATGTTTTCTCCACATACTATATGATACTCTTCAGAGATAAGTGTGGCTCCTGGCAGGTGATTATTTTGGTGATTGCTAGGTTTTTCATTTTGTTTTGGTATATTGCTGTTAGTAAGGCAGGATTTTGTGAACAGTGAGCATCTTTTAGGAGTAGAGAGTACAAGGGAGTAGTACTACAGCAGATTGATTGTTTGCCCATTTTGTTTTAGGTTTTATGTACATCTAGGTACGTCAGGATTATGCCAGACTAGACATATTTATTTTTATTTATTTTTTTTATTTTTTTTAAAAGCCATCTAGATTCATATCTTCAGAGATTTTTTTTTTCAGCTGAGACGTACATAATAAATATACCTTACTGTAGTTTGTCAGCTGACATACAAACCAGCTACTTGGAGGACAAGCTAGTGAAGCCTTGCATTGCAGTTAGATTTTTGAGAGGCAATGGTGGCCTGCTGTAAGCACGTTTGCCAATGATGCTGTTTTGGCCAGGGCTGTCTGGGGCTTTTAAATCCAGTTTGGGCAGCTGACACTCATGGCAAAAGGTATATAAACATAGGAAAAGCAAATTCTCCGAAAAAAAATTTGAGCAAGTACTTGTGGAAATTTGATTGTGTTTGCCAATGGTACTGCAGAACTAAATGATAGAGTGCTCTAAATGTTAGACCAATTGTGTGTGTGTGTGTGTGGTGATGGTGAAGAACTGGCTTAGGTTTCTGTTATGATTACTCCAGGTCGCCGAACTAAGATTCCATAGCCACCTTAAAAAGATTTCTTTACTGATATGTTAAGGACTGTTGAATTATTGCTTTTTGGAAGTTTTTCTAATCCTAACATTGGCACATTGCAGCACCTACAGTAGACTTTGTATTTTAAATTGCATATTTCTGATTTTTGCTTTCAATATTCATCCCATCCCTCAATGCTGCAATTAAAATGGGATATATGGGAATTAAAAACAGACTTTACCTACCAAGTATCACAGAACAAACATTGGAGCCACTCAGGGGACAGCTTTGGAGGAACAGGATTTCTCCCTAGCAACTCGGTTCAATGAATTAATATTTCAGGACTACTCTAGAGATGGGGGCATATTCATTCTTGATGTAATTGCTTTATCTTACTTGGAGTTAAACTAGGAATGAACTTGTCTCCCCCTCCCCCAAACCCCCAACAAGTTAACTTAGTGAAAACTGATATGAAACTGACTGAGCGTTTGCACAGTGTCAGTAAGAAATTTTAAATCAGCCCAAGTGTATTTGAAAAGTCTACAAACATGTCAACAAACCTAGGCTGACTTCTGACCATTTAACTAAGCCCCAAATTAGGCAAATTTCATGTAGTTTTCAGTCTTGATTTGTGAACGTTTTACTTGGCTCTGGACAAAGAGTGAGTGACTTGCATGTAACACCTCACACAATTTTTATATTGGTTCTATTAGAACCATTTCTCACAGTTCAGGGCAACTGTACTTGTGTTTCCCCATAGTGGTCCAGCAAGAGCCCCTGCTCTCAGGCTTCCAGACCCCTAGCCATTGCATCTCTTGGGTAGAGACCTGAGTCTCTCTCTGTCCTGACCAGGGCATTTCCAGGCTGCACAGTCCCTTGACTATACTGTGATATCCCCAGCAAAAGATAAGCTGCTTCTCCTGCTTTCTCTTCAGAGACTACTAACAGGGTAATTGCCAACAGTTGTAAGTTACCACATAACACTTCCTATGAAAGTATTTTATTCTTATGGTAAAAGCATTACAGAGAAAACCTATTAAAATAATAAAAGAACCTACACACATGCTAATAAGCTTACCAGAGATCACTCCAGCTGCCTCCAACATGGACTCTGGCAGGTCAGTCCTTCAAACCTCCCAAAGGGTTCTCTTTTATGGTCGCAAGTTCATAACCGCTTCAGCTCAGAATTAGTACCGTCTTATGAGGCCTGAGTAGTCCAAGCCCTTCCCTAAGGATTTGGGCCCTCCATGGACCAGAGTTCCTGTCTTGTTTGCTGGATCAGGAAGAAAGCCCTGAGCCAGCTTAAACTCAGGCTAGTTATTCAAAAGTCCTTTCTTTGTTGCTCCCTGGAGAATCCAAACTGGGTCTTTGAACTGTCCTCAGAGCAATAGGTGAACAGCAGACAAAGTCTCCTGCTCAGGATGAAGCTTCAAAGGCTGAGTTCATAGGTAGTTCCCAGAACAGATGTGGGCAAACTACGGCTCGCGGGCCACATCCGGCCCACGGGACCGTCTTGCCCAGCTCCTGAGCTCCTAGCCTGGGAGGCTAGCCCCCTCCTCCTCCACAGCCTCAGCTCGCTCCACTGCTGGCGCAATGCTCTGGGCAGCAGAGCAGGGAGCTCCTGGGGCAGCAGAGCAGTGAGCCTGACCTGGGGTGCTCTGTGCTGTGTGGCACAGCTGCCTGTCCTGGTGCAGCTGTGCCGCCAGCCACCAGCGCTTCAGGCAGCGCAGTAAGGAGGCAGGGAGCTGGGGGATTAGATAGCGGGCAGGGGAGTTCAGAGGTGGTTATCAGGGGGCGGGGGTGTGGATAGGTAGCGGGGCAGTCAGAGGGCAGGGAACAGGGTGATTGAATGGGGACAGAGGTCCCGGGGGGGGGCAGTCCGGAAGGAGAAGGGGGGTTGGATGGGGCGGCAGGGGGCAGGCAGGAGTTCCAGGGGCGGTCTGGGGACAGGGAGAAGGGGTGGTTGGATGTGGCGGGGGGGCATCAGGAAGGAGAGAGGGGGTTGGATGGGGCAGCGGGGAGCAGTGAGGGGCAGGGGGTCCAGGGGTGGTCAGGGAAGACAGAGCGGGGGGGGGGGGTTGAATAGAGTGGGGAGTCTGGGGCAACAGAGCGGGGGGTGGATGGGGCAGGGGTCCCGGGGGGGGCTCTCAGGGGGTGAGAAGCAGGTGGGGTCAGATAGGGGGCGGGGACCATGCCATGCCTGGCTGTTTGAGGAGGCACAGCATCCCTTAACTGGCCCTCCATACAATTTCAGAAACCCGATGCGTCCCTCAGGCCAAAAAGTTTGCCCACCCCTGTCCTCAAAACTCTACTTCACTCACATTGTCCCAAAAGATCTATCATGTCTGCTATATTCAGAAGGGTAGCCGTGTTAGTCTGGATCTGCATCCGACAAAGTGGTTATTCACCCACGAAAGTTCATGCTCCAATACGTCTGTTAGTCTATAAGGTGCCACAGGACTCTTTGCCGCATCTGCTATATTGTTTAACACAGTCTTTTGAAGTTCATATTATCTCTTTGTTCCTCCTAAACATTCAATAAGGTTTAACTTAACTCCATAAGGCTGGCCCAGGATACTGTCATATCTGTCACACCATTATTGAAAGAGAGTTCTGGGGTACGTGCCACAAGTGACAAATATGTACTATGAACTTACACAATTCTTAATGTGTCCACCCTTTTGAAATATACTGTACCTCATCCTGATCAATATATAATGCAATATATATTGCATATAATGCAATATATAAAGCTTTGCGGTTATTTTTATGAAGGACCTGCACATTTTGATTGGAAAACAAGAAACAAAAAGGTTTAAAATCCAGCAGCGCATATCCTAGTCTAATCCTATAATGCCTAGCCTTGGTTGTTGACAAATTTTTCTGGTAAATATGCTATTATCTTTGAGAAATACATAGACAATAGACAAAGAAGATTCAGATGTTTAGGAAATAGAGCTTTTCATTATTATTTTTTAAGCACAAGTTAACTTAAACTTCTTGTCCAAACATATATTCTTCATCATCTTGAATTTTTTCTCATTTTGCAGTTGAATGGAGATTCTCAGGCTAAGGTGCAGAGGATCCTACGATTGATTTCTGGTGGTGGTCTGTCCATAACTGGATCACACATCCTATGTGGAGACTTCCTGTTTAGCGGTCACACAGTAGTGCTAACACTCACCTACCTGTTTATCAAGGAATGTAAGTTACAGTATTTAAATATAGTTGTGTTGCTGATGCCTGTGTTACAAGAAGAGCACTTAATCTAAAACCACATTGTTGCATTTTACAACCTAAAATAAATGGCAAAATTGCAATACACAGTTTGACAAAATGCACTTGACCCTCCTAGTGGGTGGCTTCTGGAATGAGTCTGCCATGCTTGTACATAGTATGCAAGTACAATAATATCCTAGTACATGGTGTGGAGCTTCAGAGTTTTTAGAAAACATCTGTGTGTTTTGGGAGACTGATGTGGGAGGGGTGTGTGGTAAGGTTGAGAGAGGGGCTGAATCAGCTCAGTGCACAAAATGATTATCTGTCTTATCACTTCTGTTTGAGGTAATCAGCAAATAATCCTCTAGTTAATGATTTGAGAGAGCAAGAAAGAGAAATGACTCCCCTTGCGTCAATGGGAATTATGCCCGCTTATACCAGTGCTGTATTTGGTGCTGGGTTTGGCTTGCACAATGGAGGATACTTTTTTATAACCTCATTTTGCAATGGTCTGTCAAAAATCCAGCTCCTGAGGGCAGTAGGGAACTCTGTGGCTTCTGGAGTCTCACAGTATGAGTTTCAAGATTATGTAACTGAGGACCAGACAGTAAGATGTAATATGCAGCATGCACCACTCGGACCTCAATAATTTGGCTACTTGTTTGGCCATATGTCAGTGCAGCAGCATTTTTCTTTTAAATTCACGGCATGGCATGTATCTAAAATTAGAATCTGTCCCTGTTTCATTGCTGATTTCCTGAGCACTTTGACTGAGGCATTGGACTTCATTAAATTATTTATCTAACTTCAGCACACAGGATAACGTAAAACATTCTTTTTTGTAACAAAAGAATGTCCCATTACTTGGTGAGGCAAACAATGTTACTTGACAGTCTAAAGAGAGACAGAGAACTTCCATATGGACATAAGACCTTTTATTTCTTAAAACAACAAAGAGGTATAGCATGGTGACCATTAAGTCTAAGTCTTTGTACTACGAAATTTTCTGGCATTGTATTGTGTGTAATTAATAAATCAAACCTGCTAGAAGAACAGATGGCAGTCAGCCTAATGTTCCATGAGTAGGTGGCAACAGGATTTCCTGCTTTCTGTTTTATTAATTTTGTATGTATGTTTGTTATCACAGCTTAACAGTGGTCATTTAAATCTTATCCTGTAATATATGCCACAGGCAAGGTATATTTAACTCTTCTTTTTAAAGATTTTTTTTCATACAGTAGCATAATTCAGATGTCTTTAAATAGCAGGGTAAGGGTGGGGGAGAATAACAACCAGACTGTACATATAATAAGCTTTGTAAATGCTGCCTAAGAATTGGCAGTGTATCCCATCTGAATTCTTCTGCTTTGTAGTCAAAGTGCTGTGTACATCAGAAGTGCATAATTTACCCATTTCTATTTCCTGTGTAATTAGGAAAATGTAGTTTTCTAAGCAAGAGCATATAGTATATCATTGTTTTGAATTAGAGGTTACTTGCAATATGCTCTGCTGGTCTCTTTGATCAGGCATGTTTCTTGTGTGAGAGACATTTGTTTATTTCTAGGCCCTGGTCTACACTATGAGTTTAGGTCAAATTTAGCAGCGTTAGGTTGATTTAACCCTGCACTCGTCCACATGACAAAGCCATTTTTGTCAACTTAAAGGACTCTTAAAATCTATTTTTGTACTCCTCCCCGACAAGGGGATTAGCGCTAAAATCAACATCGCTGGGTCGAATTTGGGGTAGTGTGGACACAATTCGATAGTATTGGCCTCTGGGAGCTATCCCAGAGTGCTCCATTGTGACCACTCTGGACAGCACTTTCAACTCAGATGCACTCGTCAGGTACACAGGAAAAGCCCCGGGAGCTTTTGAATTTCATTTTCTGTTTGGCCTGCATGGCGAGCTCATCAGCACAGGTGACCATGCAGTCCCAGAATCACAAAAGAGCTCCAGCATGGACCGAATGGGAGGAACTGGATTTGATTGCTGTATGGGGAGATGAATCCATGCTAACAGAACTCCGTTCCAAAAGACATAATGCCAATATATATGCCAAATCTCCAAGGTCAAATGCGAGGTGTTTACAATGCTCACAACTGCAGCGGTGATTGGAACGGTCTCCCGCTTGCAGTGCTGTGGCGTATGCGCAGGCAATCCAGGAAAAAGGGTGAGAAATGATTGTCTACCGTTGCTCTCATAGAAGGAGGAAGGGAGGGAATGGTCACTGACGACATGTACCCAAAACCACCCGCGGCTACTTTGTCCGTTCTCAATTTTTTTTAATTAATAAAGAAAGAATGCATGGTTTCAAAACAATAGTTACTTTATTTTGAAGGGGGGAGGGTGGTTGGCTTAAAGGAAATTAAAATCAACAAAGGGGGCGGGTTTGCATCAAGGACAAACTCACACAACGGTCACACCGTAGCCTGGCCAGTCATGAAACCAGTTTTCAAAGTCTCTGTGATGCATAGCGTGCCTTGCTGTGCTCTTCTAATCGGTGTCTGGCTGCTTAAAATCGGACACCAGGCAATTTGCCTCAACCTCCCACCCCGCCATAAATGTCTCCCCCTTACTCTCTCAGATATTATGGAGCACACAGCAAGCAGCAATAACAATGGGAATGTTGCTTGCACTGAGGTCTGACTAACAGCGCCAGTGAGCTTTTAAACGTCCAAAGGCAAATTCTACCACCATTCTGCACTTGCTCAGCCTATAGTTGAACTGCTCCTTACAACTGTCCAGGCTTCATGAGCCATGGGAGCAAGGGGTAGGCTGCAGTAGGTGTAACCACACTGTGCAGCCAGCTGGGAGAGCAGCCTGAGGCAGAAGCCTCCAGCTCGCAGGAGATCAGGATAGCAGAATTGCAGCAGAAGTGGTAGAGCGAGCAAAACACCATTGGTGAGGACGGCTAGCAGTCCTACTGCACCGTCTGCTGCAGAGTTGCCCAGATCAGGATAGCAGAGTTACAGCAGAAGCAGATTGAGTCGTTCACCATTGATGCAAAGGCACCCAGGAGCTGCTACTGTGTGGCCAAGGCAAAAGAGTAAGAGCCCTGGAGCTGTTACATGTGGACTATACGACTGCAAGATTTCTTCACCAGTGACAAAGGACAGGAATATGATGCACCTAAAATCTAAAAAGGCTTGCACATTTCCCAGAGTCACTACTCTTGGTAACAGAATGTCAATGATTGCATTGGCTATTTGGATCACAGCAGCCCCCACAGTAGACTTGCCTGCAACAGCAGTGGTGACAGTGAGCTGAGCGGGCTCCCGCTTGCAGTGCTATGGCGTCTGCGCGGTTAACCCAGGAAAAAAGCTGCAAAACGATTGTCTGCCATTGCTTTCACAGAGGGAGGGGCGACTGATGTCATGTACTCAGAACCACCCATGACAATGTTTTTGCCCCATCAGGCATTGGGAGCTCAACCCAGAATTCCAGTGGGCGGTGGAGACTGGGATAGCTACTAACTCAGAAAGTCGACGCGAACCAGGGTACTGTGGATGCACTCTGCCGACTTACTGCACTTAGTGGGGACGCACGCAATCGACTGTATAAAACCGCTTCCAAAAAATTGACTTTTATAAAATCAACCTAGTTTCATAGTGTAGACATACCCTTTGTGTAGTTCCCCTCCGCTGCTCCCTACCCTCGCATCTTTTGGGTATTGTCGGTGCATTTTACTCAGGGGCTTTCCCCATGCTTCTTTCTCTCTCTCAGAACAGGGGAAGATTATACTAGTGTGGAATATCACTTCTGTCTGGAGCCTGCTTCCTCAACTAGATAACAGGATAGGACTCCAAATCCTGGTCCACAAATCAGTGGAATGGACTCAGCCTTAGCATTTTTGGGGGGATTCTATGATGTAGTCTTTCAGTTCCCCCCACCTTCCTCCAAAACATAACTGAGTCCTGACTACAGTAACTAGATAACACTATGCACAGGGCCAGCCTCTTTGGGTAAGATCACTGGTACAGTATTTATGGTATCCCAAACCTAATGGACTCATTTTACATAAAAAGTGGGGTGGGACTCTTAGGGGGTCCACCACCAGCCTCCGACTGCAGGGGAAGTGGAGCCCAGCTGCCTGTCATGATGTCCGTAGTTGACAACATCAAAAACATTTTTCAAGGAAAAATTTCCAGCTAAACTGCAAGACTGCCAGCTGCTGGAGGGTTGTGGGCATTCTGGATGACTTTAGCACTTGCATACTGCTTCACAAACATTAACAAATTAATTATCACAATGTACTCTGATATGTGGCATACAAGCCCCATTTCACAGACCAGGATACTAAATTAGAAGAAAGGTTATGTGACTTGACTAAAACCACAGATAGTGTCAGAGCTGGAATTAGAAGCCTGGAGTTCCTTGCTCCCAGTTCCATGTCTAACCCATTAGAATAGATTGCCTCTTACTCCTACTGAGCTTACTCCTCTTGTGGCCAGAAGCCATTCTGGATGTTCAGCAAAAGAGCAGTTTCAGTTAAAGGTAGCTGGCTGGGAGGCATCTTGCAATTAACATCCAAAACAGGAGCTTGGACACCACCACCCACCCTGAGCTGTGAATTGGTCTTGGTCCTCTGTCCACAAATGGTGGAAGGACTCTGAATTAGACCATGATTTTTAGGGAAAATTACAGTGACAAACTTTTGAGTCTTAGTGGTCAACTCTTGTCCTTTCTTTGGTAATATAAACTAAAAACCATTTTGAAAATGAAAACTTAGATTACTCTTAACCTTCATAGGTCCCTCAGCTGAAGATCTACAGACCCTAATGGCCATATTTCAGCAGATGATACCTCTGCATCAGTAAGCTTTCTTAGTTGTTCAAAGAGAATTTTTACTACAGCAGAGATTTTCTCTCTCTCCATTAATATATATGTATAAAATATCCACACACATCACACAGATTCAAATTAAACTGCTAAAGTTAATCTTGGATATTTATAGAAACATATAATTCTCTCCTTTTGACAGACTCCCCTCGTCATTTTTGGTGGTATCATTTGATCTGCTGGTTGATGAGTGCCGCTGGTATAATCTGCATTCTTGTCGCCCATGAACACTACACTGTGGATGTTATTGTTGCTTATTATATCACCACAAGGCTCTTCTGGTGGTACCACTCAATGGCTAATGAAAAGGTAAGTGCAAAGGGTATGTATGTATATGTAATATGTATGTATATGTAAACCGCTATAAACCCAATAATGGCCTCTCCTTGCAAATTCCACAAAAAAGGTCATAATGGCCTTAAAATTAGTAGATTAGATCTGGGGCAAAAATATAATTTTTCCACAGAAATTGAAGCACAAGTATAAAGTTAAGCAGGTGCTTATGTGCTTTCCTGAACAGGGGCCCATGTTAAGAAGTAGTCTGTCATTTCTGGCATGCATATGTTTTTAAAACCTATCTTCTTTCGAAACATGAATACTTTATCACTGTTTTAGGTAGCTAGGATAGACTACACCATATCTTAATTGATTGATAGTAGCTACTAACGTTATTAGAGACCTTAAATTACCCAGCCTTTTTAAAATTTCCAGTTACATTTCCTACAGTACATTGGACAAAGGTTGGCTATATCCTCTGTGTGTGTGTGTTTGTTTGTTTGTTTGTTTTTGTTGTTCTTTTATCTTCTGTTAGCTTTAAATATATTTCTTTTCAATTTGAGTCTCCTCTTTATTCTTCTATTGTGTGACACGTTAGAAAGAAGTGTTCAGTTCTCACTATGCCATTTGTCATATGGAATACCCAAGTCACATCAAACTGTTTTCCTTTCCAGGTTAAATAAACTTACTATTTGCAGAATTTCATTCAAATATACTGTAATTGTCACTTCTTTATGATTCAGCTAATGCGATTGGTTCTACTGTCTAAACTTGTTAAATTGTTTCTTCTATTCTCCTTTTTCTCCCCAATATAGAATTTGAAGGTCTCTTCCCAGACTAATTTTCTCTCTCGAGCATGGTGGTATCCGATATTTTATTTCTTTGAGAAGAATATTCAAGGCTCAGTTCCTTGCTGCTTCTCATGGCCAATATCTTGGCCTCCCAGCTGCTTCAAGTCTTCATGCAAAAAATATTCACGGGTTCAGAAGACAGGAGAGGACAATGAAAAATCCACCTGAAAGAAAGATGAAGAAAGGAAAGAAAGCATCTGCTCTTTATTTTACCAAAACATTAATGCGATAACCAAAGTTCTTAAAAGGACTAAACTGTAAGGGAATAAGTGGACCAAATTCTTGTGCAATTGTACAAGACAATTGTAGACAAAATATAACACCCCTTGATATGTTTTCTATTCATCACATTTTACAGAGCTATTCTATTCATCAGTACTAGGAGTCCACCACAGATAGGATTTATCCCTGAGAAAGAAAAGAAGCAGTAGTTTGGTTTACTTATGAGATTGAGGTGCCAAAGAACACACCACACCTTTTGTTTATTAATTATCAGTCATCCACAAAATATCATCTTTAGAGTTCTGGAGTTTGAGGGCAAAAGCATACTAAAATTTAAAGTTACAATATCTGTCTACAATGGTGGGAAGTGGTTTACTGTATTCTTCTTGCTAATGAAGGTAAGACTTATGATATATGACTGGTGAAGCCGGAAGTGAGCCTTGACATTTTATGCTCTATGGGAATGAATCTACTATGACCCTGAAGTACTCCTACCGCCCATGTACTCTGATATACCAGTTTTTACATTTTGTATTGGTAATTTTATATTTAAAAAAAAAAAACTTAAAAAAAGGAAAAGGAAAGCTGTTGTGATATGATGACACTGCAAATTAGAAATAATACCTGCTAACATCATTGGAGCTCTACAAATATGGAAGTATTTTTATTTTTAAAACCTATATCTATGTAACAAGAAGAAAATTATTTCAAAGTCTAAACATTTAATGGCAAGTTAGCCTGGGTCTGTATGTATTATGTATATATACCTATATGCATTACATAGCTATATATACATACTTTTGTGTATTCACACACATTAACCAATATTAGATAAATGAAAAGAAAGCTGTGTATAATATGTTATTGTAAGCAAAACTCCCACTGATTTCATTCACCTGCTTCAGGATTGCAAAGTCAGTCCCCAAATGGGAAATGTAAAAATCAAACATTTTAAATTTTTAGTTACTATATCTTGATGACACTATAAGCATTGTGCTTGAGAGCCTGATGTTATGCATTTAGAGGTTTTGGGTTGTTTTTTTTTTCCTTAGAAATCGTTGGCACAAATCTCAGTGACTCATAAACAGGTGCAAGGTGAATACACTCCAACAGCAACACTTCTTCCAGTGTTACCTAACCATATTTATTATTAAATGTTACTGTCATATGACTGAACTGCTATTCCTTTCTATCAGGAGTTGTGTAGATACTTTGGTTGGACAAACAAGTATGTTGGTTTAGTATGTGGGAATACACAACTTTGTTAGTGTACAACAGAACTGCAGATTAGCAGCTTACCTGGTCAACGTCACTTTTCATGTTGTTCTTGGGGAACCTAAGTGGATACTGGGCAGCCCAGAGTTTAACAGTTTATTTGTTCTGTATTCATTTCCTCAGCTACTCAAGTATTTTATTTCGAAACCTTCAGTAAAAGCTGATCGCAGAGGAAATAATTGCACTAATAGTTAAATTAACCTGTAACTTGAGTGAAAAAACGCTCTTATTTTTAGAATGTCTTGACAAGTGTAAACACTAAAAAGAGAATTAAATAATGACATTCTCATTTTTAAAATATCCAGTTAGAAAAATTAGTACAAATAAAATGCAATATACAGTACCCAGATCTGATTTCTTTTTCAGTTCACAGAGTCAACGACTACAAAATTGTACTCCAGAAAAATATTTTAACTTGCATTTCAGAAGATTTTTGTGCATTATCAAAGCATAATACAACAAACTGCATTTCTTACAGGACATCCTGGTAAAACATAGCAAAGTAATGATATCCAAGCTCTTTAAATAAAAAAAAAAAATAAAAAATTCTCCTCACTGACTGGGGAGTCTGATGTTGTGCACATGGACACAAGGCTAATGTTTTGTTCCTGGCAGAACTTTAGTGGCTCACAAACTGAAACCAAGGACATACATTTGAAGAACTGTTCCTTGAATTATTAGCTAACCAATCCTATTAGTACAATATCAGCCTTTGCAGATCCCCAAAGTTGTTGTTTTATTTCTTGTTTGAGTTCATCTACATGGACCACAATGTCTTTGGAGACAAACCAGACTACTGTGGTTAATCTCCTAACTGACATGTTAGTTATTTTTAGTTGAACCACTTCTAATAGCAAAGTCTATGGAGGGAAATGTGGGTGAATTTCATTAGTAAACCTGCTTCAAGATAAGCACGGTAAAACTGTGGACTGAGCATTCTAGGAAGGATCAGAAACTATGCTTTTCACTTGGCAGCCTGTTAGGTTACTGAATAACACATCCATTGATAGCCTAAATAGATTACAACAAAGTTCCACTGAGATATTTAGAAGGGTATTTAGCTAATGACTGACCTATAGAATATATCAAGTGCTTTGCTCAAAACCAATATCCTTATTCAGTACAATTTTTTTTAGGTCCCATTTTGTTTAGAGGGGAGAGAATTAAAATTGAGTGAGTAGTGTTGGTTGTTTTTTAAAAAAAACAAAACAACAAAATCAGTTGTAGTTTTGTTTTAGGCCCGCTAAGTGCTCAAATTCCCTCCATTCCCATATATATCAACCGAAATTGTGGGTACTCAAGTTGCTTGCATACTTTGGCCTTTAAACAATACACGGAGTATCTCAAAAGTTCTTCTTATTGATACAAAGAAAGTAGTAAACTTTATTGTATCAATTTTTTTAAAAAGTGCTCATCTCATTCAGAAACATTTTAAGCTTAAATGTATGCAAGAATGTAGAATTTCGGTGTTACATTTTCACAATATAATTCTAGCCTATTCTTTATTACCACACTGTACTAACAAATCAGGTATAGGCTACAGTCAGTATATATGAAAATGAGCTTAAAGAATTGACAGCAATTGTAATAAATGTTGGAATATAAAGTAGTTCTACAAAATTTCAAGATGGGAAGAAATGGAGTAAAGTGGATATAATCCAAAAGTAAAAAAGCTTATCTGGAATTCGTTCATAAACCTTCACGGGGTTGAGTGCAGGATTTTATTCCTGATTAGGGTGACCAGATGTCCCAATTTTATAGGGACTGTCCCAATATTTGGGGCTTTGTCTTAAATAGGCGCCTATTACTCCCCCACCTCCCAACCCCCGTCCCGATTTTTCATACTTGCTGTCTGGTCACCCTGTTTCTGATGCCTTTTTATATACCTTTCATTTTATGTAATTTTTCCTGAAACTTTTCTTTGATTTAAATACTGTCTGTATCTGCTGACATGCCATGAGACATAGTTGAGCTGCAATTTCTGTCCTTTGAAGAGAGCCTGGATGGGCCCTTCTGAAATCAGTGGAAGTTCCATGTGTGCATCTGCCATATCACTGAAGACACAGGAGCTGCTGGGTCCTTGGCACTTCTGAAATCCAGGTCTCTCATCTATGTGTCTAACTGGATTTAGAAGCCTAAATTGGGCACCCATATTAAAAAAAATCTCAGCCATGGTCATTACTTAAAAGGGTAATATGATAGTGTTATGCTCAGTGTACTGCTGGTTTGCAACAGATCTGTCACATTAGCAAATAAACTTGGCCTTGTTCAACCACTTTAGATTTTATCTCCATGGTGTGTCCTTAATGCCCTCTTGTGACTATAAATGGTATGTGTTCAATATCACTCACTGACTTGTAAAAATGGTATTTTTAGGGTAATTATTATGCGTTGGGCAGCCAGTCCAGAGAAAATAAAACATTCCCCAACACTAGAACAGATTTCTTTTTTTTAATATTCCAATGAATGTGGTTAGGTTGACTGTTTTTATTCATTTGTACATGTTTCTGCATTACCTAGTTTTGGCCAGGACCCAGAAGTAACATATGCTAATATGAAGTGGTGGTGTTCTTGCATTATCAGCAACTCAGCTAGAACTAAGAAGTGGCAGGAAAAAAAAAGTCATGAGACTTGCAGACAAGATATTTGGATACTGTGGGATCATCATCTCAAATCGAATCAATCCTCCAAACTTTGAGTTTCACCCATTGCTAGTGTTTTCATTGCCAGATGGCTTGTCCTGTTTGTTTAAAGTACACATAGTGCCAATCAAGATCTGTTTCTTACTATGCTGGATATGAAACATGGTCTAGTTTTTAACAATCTGATCCATCTCTCACTGAAGTGGGGAGTCTTCCCATTTATTGCAAAGGACGAGCCCTTCAGGAAAGGCCTGGGAAACTGCAGATTCTGATTCTGCTCTGCTACTGACTCGTTGTGTGAATATGGGAAGCCATAACCTTTTCTTCCTGATTATCAGAGCCACCACAGTTCCATTTGTTTTTGCTAGGAATTGAGAGCTCAATACCGCTGAAAATTCTGTGTCTCAGTTTCACCATCTGTAAAAGAGAGAGACTGCTTTCCTATCTTATAACCCTACTGAGGCTTAGTGTTTGCAAAGAATTTCTAGATGATTGGATGGAAGGTGCTATAAAAGTGCAAATATTTTATTTATTGTAAACCACTCCTTTAACACTAAGTCATGTGAGGTATGTTTTGAGAGTTAAGATGAGTCTACACTGGTAACGCTAAAGTGCTGCCATGGCAGCGCTTTAACGTGGCTTGTGTGGCTCTTAGCTCTCCCAGTGCTCTTAAAAAAACAAAAAAAAAAAACCCCAAAAACCCACCACCTCCACAAGGGTCGTATCTCCCAGCACTGGTGCACTGTCTACACTAGTGCTTTAGAGCACTGAAACTTGCTGCGCTCAGGAGGGTGTTTTTTTCACCCGCCCCGGAGCGAGAAAGTTACAGCACTGTAAATTGCCAGTGTAGACAAGTCCTTACATGGCTGCACCAGGCACTGTAAAAACCACTGTAAAACCAGCTTTTAAGCCACCTTTTTCAGTGGCTGAATTTGATAGCCAAATCAATATTGCTGTTTAATTGCATCTGAGAATAACTTCCCAGCACAGTATTAATGCCATTTCATTGTTATAAAATTATGTTCTTAAATGCCAGTAATATGGGATGCTGCAAAGTGGTGATGCAGAATTTTTTAACAACCATTGAGAACAAAGTCAAAATAATCTAGTCTTGTATTTCATGCAAATATACACTTCCACACATTCTTACAAATTGCTTATATAGTCTGTCAGCTTCGGTTAGCTGTATAGCATCCATCACGGTTAGAAATGAATCCAGGGAATAAAGAGTAAACCTTTAGTATAGCATGTGATGATTGTATTGCTGACTTCCAAAAAGAAAGACTAGAAGAAACCATAAACACAAATTAAATCAATGTTCCTATGTAATTGTTAATGCTACATAACATGAGAGTGTGTTGCAGAAAGTGTATTAGTGGTTCAAAGGTAGCCAGTTTTGTATTTTTACAAATATACTATTTTAACGTGTTAAGTGCCTTATTGTTCAGTTTTACATCTATATGTATTATACTGTGAAATGTTTTTTCAATAGTTTCTGCTATAAGATATTATATATACAGTGTATGCTGTTCTAAGTTATAATTGTATTTGGATAAGCTTGCAGGTTTTAATCAAGTTTTAATATAATTTAAAATCTTTATTTCACACACTAACTGCTCCTTTTCAAACTGCCATTAACAGCACCATATAACAGAGCAACACCTTACAGAAACACTGTTTGTGCTTCTATACTTGTGTGCTTCTATTCTAAGGGTGCATTAGCACTTTGGCTCAAAAGCTCCTGAGTTAACTTCATGCCAGGCTGAAATGTAGCAGGTGAGGGTTTCAGGCTAAGTGCAAATATTTCAACAAAAGTGTCCCGGGGGGGGTTTAGAGCCATCCTTAGGCATACAAGGCTGTGTAGGGCACCTGAAAATTTGGGGCACCCCTGGGTCTTAGTGTCCACCCTTCTGCCTCTTCCTATCCCTGTTCTGACCTTTCCTGCAGGCTCCCACCACAGCTGACTGCTGCACCCTGGTGAGTCTTCCTCCAGAGGGGATCTAGTACTTAAAAGTGAAGAAGCCTGCCAGACCTAGCACAACATTGAAACTGTTAAAGAGCCATTCAAGTGGTCATGTTTCAGAGTAGCAGCCGTGTTAGTCTGTATTCACAAAAAGAAAAGGAGTACTTGTGGCACCTTAGAGACTAACCAATTTATCTGAGCATAAGCTTTCATGAGCTCAAATAAATTGGTTAGTCTCTAAGGTGCCACAAGTACTCCTTTTCTTCAAGTGGTCATGAAGCCATTTAACAGGCATTTGCCAACTCCCAGGTATCTGCCAGTTTCTGAATGTACTCACAAACAGTTGTGCACTACTATTTACTCAGAACATATTAGTCTACAGAACCTTAATTTAAAATTTGCTTTAAAAATATTTCACTAGTGTGTTGCTGAAGATTATAAAATCATATCTCTAAAAAATCCTTGCATAGATTTTTAGATGCACAATCTGAGTATTCATCTTTGGCTTTAAATGCTTGGATCTTCAGACATATAGTTTTTTAAATAAATCCTTCAAAAGACCACCCTTACCTAAAATCCACATGCGAGCCCAGGCTGCCATCAGGCATAAGGGGCACCAGTTTAATAGTACTGCATAGGGCCCCATAAATCCTAAGGACTGCCCTGAGGGCAGGGGCGGGGGGGGGGGGAGGGAGTTCTGTTTAAGTTAGATGTTATATTACAGTAAATGTTTATTAATCTCTTATAACAACCTCTCCTCCCCTGCCAGCCCCCTGCCAGAAAAATCCCTCTGCTTCATTTTTAAGCTCAAAGGTTGAGGCTGTTGGCTTCTAATGTCAGGTTTCAGAGTAGCAGCCGTATTAGTCTGTATCTGCAAAAAGAAAAGGAGGACTTGTGGCACCTTAGAGACTATCAAATTTATTTGAGCATAAACTTTTGTGAGCCACGCTTAATGTGGATTTAAAGTGCCTTTGGGTGGGAGATGGCTGAATTTGCTTTCAGTGGGAACACTTTAAATCTACATGAATCATATACACGATTTTTATAGCCATCTTCAGTGGATGCGTGCTTTGGGCTAACTTGTGCCTACAGTTGAGGACACAGCGTAAGCCACTGCACCCAGAACCCCCAGGAGGAATTTTAGCTGACTGTTTGATTCAGTACATGCTAGCCTGGCATACCACCCTAGGAGAAGGTGCAGCACATGTTCACCTCCACAGCTGACATGCTTTTCACTTCACTTTTGGGATAAGTGTTCCTACTAACCCTGTACAGTCAGTGTGCTCCCAGGTGCACTTTCCAGCCACTGTACAGAGTCTCTGTGTAGTGGAGGGTCGTTGAACCCCCTCCCCTTCCCTTATTCACTTGCACAGGGTCAGTCACTATCTGGTTTGTTTTTAGTAAATTAAAATATTGTAAAGCTAGATATAATGCACAGTCACTATTGTAGGGTGGAAACTCAACTTCTTAAAGTGCCTGTATATGGGCTTGATTCTAGAGAAATATGTCTAGTTCCAAGCCATACAAATGTACTATTGGTTAATTCAGGGCCTGTATTTCGTATTTGTCCAATGCATAATAAGGGCTCTGAGAGGTTAACTTCCGTAAGGCTGCAGGGATTAACCACACATCAGCAATCTATAGTGTCAAAATTAGCCTTCATACTAAAACACTACTTTTTCTGGATAGATCTTACAATTGCCTGAATATGTATTTAGCTGATGTTGATTTTGTTTTTAATTACCTTTATAAAATTTTTCAAAAATAAAAAAGTTCAGGGAGTAGAAAATATGCTAAAAGATGAACTTGAATTGCTTCTTTATACGCTCTTTAAAATCCAATCATTAAGAGCCCTATGAAAGGCTGCACAGAAGTCCGTGATATATGTGGGCACCTCCCTCTGCAGGATGAGGTTCTAAAAAATTGTGAGTAGCCTTAAAGTACAGATTCATTTTAAAAGAAAACTAAGTATTTTGCTATTCACTAATTGAGTTCAAAATTCTGTGTTTCTCTTGCAAGAGCTGCTGTTATTAGGCACCTATGTCCTGATTCAGCAAGGTATTTGAGTATGTACTGACTTAAAGCGTGTGAGTAGTTCTCTTGAAGTCAGTGGGACTATTCTCATGCTTAATACTGAATACATGCTTAAGTACCTTGCTGAACACTGACTGCTTGGCATAGCACTACGATCATGAACAGTCCCACTGAAGTCAGTGAGACTGCTTCCAGTAGTAAGTGCTATGCCCATTACTAACTGTATGCAGGATTCTTATTTTGTGTCTAACCATTAACATAATGGGCCAGAATTTGGTCCACAGAATGCAAAATGTGTAAGGAGGCTGTAGCTGTTTGTGGCAGATCTCTCAGTAAAGTGAACCGTATAGTAGACACCCCCTTTTTGCTGCTTTGTGGCCTGTCATGTGCTATGAAACGTTGCATCCTCTACTACAAAGTGTTGCAGTATATACATGATCAAGTTATTGTAATATTGGTGCTTTGAAAATAAGAATCAGGGCAATAATCAGTAGCATTTCTAGTTACACATTTCAATGGGGTGTTGTCCTCACCCAATCAGTGCCTCACCTTCTACACTGCTATTTATACTCATGCTAGGCAGCGTGTACTCTGTACACCACCATAAGTGTAGACGTAGCCTAAGAAGGCCATCCTGTGAG